AGGGGTGTAGTTCAGTGGTAGAACACCTGTGTGACCCTGGATTCCAATGGCTAGCAGAGAAAAAAAAATAGTTTTACTGATGCGATCACGGTTCATATTAACAAATCTCACCAACGATATTCAGCACCTTTTGTCATTAGATACTCATTTGTACCCTTACTCATTTAATCTCCGCCTTTCTCACCCAAATATCCAGCCAGTACTTTGTTTTGTTTTGTTTTGTTTTAAGAGACAAGTTCTCTTTGTATTGCCCAGGACGATATCAAACTCCTGGGCTCAAGTGATCTTCCTGTTTCATCTTCCTTAGTAGCTGGGACTATCTGTACATGCCAACACACCCTGCCCGACTAGATTTTAATTTCTTATGACAGGGATCCATGTATACCTGGCCTACGGCTAGTGCCTCACACATAGTAGGACTTTGATACAACTTACCAGAGAAGTGAATTAGTGAAATAGCTGTTGTTGCTCTACAATTTTACCCAATCTCCTGGAAACATTTCTTGACATCTGTGTCAATGTGCTCATTACTATAGCTGAGACCAACAGTACATAAAAAGCATCAAAAACAATATCTATGCCACACTCCTAAACAGCAGCTGAAACCATCATTGAAGAAAAACAACCAAAATAGACACACACAGAGAGAACAAGAGGGAAACCAGCACTGGTTTCCATGACATCTCACTATTTATTTCAAATGTTAGGAAAATGAGCCTGCCACAGAGGCCTAAAAGCAATCATTAGTCAAAGATGAAAAGCCAAACTGCAAATCTGCTAAAAGCCACAAGTTCAACAATTGCATTGGCTGAGTTAGAAATAACCCAGCATTAATGATAATCTCAAATGTTCCTGGACCGAGAGAGAAGAGTGAGATGGAAAATAGGTTCTCATTTCTTTAGATTCCTTTTGACAAGGGGAAGGGAGAACAACAACATAAAAACCAGTATTTGTGTTCCATGTCGGATGCCAATTGCAATGACTCGAAGTAAATAACTTCCCCACAGCTAGAAAGGAAAATAATTTCCAGTAATTAGAATGGAAATGGCAAGAGATGCTTATTACAACTCTGGAGAGGCTCGATGATGAAATCCAATACCCACCAGACTCTGATGAGAATCATAAAGTGGACAGTTTATCTGCGTATCACCTAGGCAGAAATTTTGTCCTCAAGAAATGAAATCCTTCCTCTGAATTTTTTTCCCCAAGAAATGAAATCCTTCCTGTGAACATCTGAGGCCCAGTGACATTTTCAAAGAATTATTTTGCTCACTAGTAAAAGCAAGGTAATCCCACAGGTAGGAGGATGGCTCAGAACATGACTGGATCAGGTCCCACCCTCCGGGAAGGCAGATCAGCGCTGTGTCCTACTAGTATCCCAGCTACTCTGGGTCAGCTTTGAGATCACAAGGAACAAGAGGATAACAGAGTTACGATGTGCATTTGTCAAGGGGCTAAACACAAAGACTACTTACAGTAATGCTAATATGACTTATACTCACCCAACAAAAACATTCCAGAAAGGAACATGGGCCAAAGTGGCAGCCTTCCTAGAAAGGCAAATTCCCAGGCACAGAGGGCTTACAAACACGATCACAAAAGACATCCTTTAAGCTCGAATGTCATCCTTTTAAAGAATTTCCATGGCTCGCCCTAGCATTTGGCAAACAATGCCACTCTTCAAATTGGGAAAGATGACAAGAAGCTTAATGAACTTAAGTGAGCCAGTAGGAAAGATTCCTGTGAAATAAGCTCTGGGTCCTGCAGTTGAGCTGTGTTCCGCACAATTGCCCTCCTGGAGAGGACCAGAGAAAGGAATGGAAATCAACATAATGAGTATTTTGTAGATATCGATACTGGGTGGGTGCTGGGACCAGGAAGTCACACACACTGCCCATCTCCTCAAGGAACTTAGAATGATCTAGCAAGAAAAATATAAAAATGTTCAAAATAGTAATGCAGTGCTGCGAGTGTCATCGATGCACTGTAGAGGGAGGAGGCAGCTGAAGAGTCTCTCAAGAGACCCGCAGTTAAAGTGAGTCTCTCTCAGGAGTGAGGTAGCTTGCTTGCTTTGGGCACTGAGGCCTAGTCCCACCTACACACATTTGATTGATTTCCTAACTTTGTGGATCCCAACATATCCCCCCTTTCTTGTTTTGTTTTCTCAGAGATGGGTGGTCCATTGCAGTTAGTGTATTTGGAGAAGTCTTTTCTTTTTCTTTCTTTTTTTTTTTTAAGAATGCACATTCTAAAAAAATTATTTACAAACTTAAATGCCAGGGAAGCACTTATTCTACTGAGCCATCTCCCCGGCCCACACACAGGAGTCTAGCACAGCCCAAGGCTGGCTCAGGATAGGAAGGAGGAGGGGACAAGAGACAGGAAGTGGGGGCCGGCAAGATAGATCAGCAGACTAAAGCTCCTACTTAGGCAAACTTAGGCAAGTGCAGATTCCGAGGTTCAGTCCCTGGCACCACATGTCCCACCAGCCCCACTCCCAGGGTGGGCTGAGCCCACCACAGAGTCCAGGGGTGTAATCCCAACGCTGGGGAGGCTGAAAGCAGGAGGATCACCATGAGTCTGACCCGCAACAACCAAATACATTAAAAAGAAGAAGAAGAAAGCAGGAAGTGGGGCTGAAACCTGCAAGCTCACCTGCTATGGATGCCTGAGCTGTTACTTCACAGACCTCTGCAGAGCCAGGTGCAGGTGCTGGCTTAGCAAACAGCCAACGGCAGACTCAGAGCCCCTCGGGACAGGGCACCTGGCCCAGAGGTGCGGGCTTGTCAGGCCCTTGACTGTGCCCCACCATACCCGAGTCCAGGCAACTGCCTCCTTTCTCTCCATCCTAATCCTCTGCCCTTGGCCCTGTCTCCTGTCTCCTCTGTGTTTGCCTGCCCCTCCCCAGGACCCTTTGGCTTCCTCCTTCTCTGCTGCCCTCTGCTCCCACTCCTCAGGCCTGGGTGTCTTTGCTTCTAATTGCATCTAGGACCATGGGTCTAAAGCCCAGTTCTATCTACGCTTCTCCCTGGGTAAAATCCTCCCACCATTTCTCTCTGTACAGGAGATAAAGTTCAGGACACTCCAACCCTCCCTGACCCTGCCTTTGGCTGGCTTCCAGGCCCGGCCCACTGCACCCAGATGTTCTGAACCACCTCTTACTTCCTGTGCCCGAAGACACACATTCACCTTGAGCAGCCTGAAGTCTGGATGTGTGTGTGTGTGTGTGTGTGTGTGTGTGTGTGTGTGTGTGTTTCTGTTTCTGTTTCTGTTTTTTGAGATAGGATGCTTTGGGGCCGGCCTTGAGCTCCAGGCAATCCTCCTACCTCAGCCTCCTGCATGCTGGGATTATAGGTGTGCACTTTGATTCATTTTTAAGTCGCTCTGAATGACAGGCATCAGCTCATCCATCAAACCCTGAGCAAAAGCCTAGGAGACCCAGCATCCAGCCCGGCCCCTGCTCCTTCATGCTCAGAGACTTGACTTCCACTGACTAACCACCATCCTAAGTGTTCCACCAGGAGCTACTTTGTTGCTACTGCTTAAAATCATTACTTTACATTATTACTTATAAAGTTACTACAGTATTATGAATAAAAATGTTATTTGTAACCTCATTTTAGAGTTTTTGGTTTGTTTGCTTTTGAGACACAGCCTTGCTATATAGCCCAGGCTGATCTCAAACTCAAGGAGATCCTGCTGTCTCAGTCTCCCCAGGGCTGGGATTACAAGCATGTGCCACCACACCCAGCTTCAGGCCCAGCCCGGGGCACCCAGGATTCCAGGGCTAGCACAACATGCAGTACCAGGGACCAAACTGGCTGTTGCACTTGCCAGGCAGGCACCTAGATCATTGAGCTACCCTCCCCCCCCCCAGCCAAACCCCACATTTTAATAAGAATCACTTCTTGGCCTAGGCTCATACTTGAAATACCAGCACTGGAGAGGCTGAGGCAGGAGTATTGTGTGTTCAAATCAGCTTGAATTTCATAGCGAGACCCTGTCTCCAAAAAAAGACCTGTTCAATAAAATCACCAGATGCCTGAGTCCACAGCTAGTGAAGGCAAAGGCGGCTGCAGGTCCTCGGGAGGCGAGCCATGGATGGAGACACAGTGAAGAGGCTGAGATGCAGCCCGGCATGAGAGCCATGGAGGGGATCCAGCCTGGACCACAGAGACACCTCGCAGACACCTATCTGGGGTGATAGCTTCCTTCACTGGGGTGCGGCAGAAATAGCCCGAAAGTCAGGACGGCCATAACCACAGGAGGAGCTGGGCCAGGGCTGGACAAGCTTGGCAGAGGCTAAGGGCATCCCAAAAGGAAGACAGGAATGGGTCCCTTGGTTCTGGAAGACTAGGCCGGGGGCCACTGTGAGCCCAGGGAACAAAAGCAGAGGGACAAGATCGGGCCACACCCACAGCTGGGTCCAGCGCTTTCCAGCCTCCACCGACAGTCGCTGGCACCAGCCAAAGGGAGCGGCTGCCTAGGAATCATTCTGGGTGCCCCTCCACAGCCCATTCAGGACCCCAGAAGTACCACCAGCCTGTATTTCTATTTTAAATACCTTGCTCACCGTGAGTAAGCCGAGCTGGCACAGCCAAAAGAGGAAACAACGGAGGTAAAGGCTGCAATCACAGGTAACTTCTACCAGAGGCTGTAGAGGGCTGCTGTCTTGCAGTCCACGCTGGGACAAGCACCAGGTTAATTTCAGACGAAACAGCAGCCAGGCGTTCATTCACTGAATAACTTTGTTTGTTTGTTTGTTTGTTTGTTTGTTTGTTTTCAATAGAGGGGACTGGACACAAGTCCTTCACACTGACCCACATCCCCAGCTCTTATTGTATTTTTTGAGATAGAGTCTTGTTAAGTCACTAACTTGTCTAGGCTGGGCCCAAGCTTGCAATCTTCCTGCCTCAGCCTCCCAGAGGATTAGAGGCACCACACATTACCACACCAGGTTAACAGCCTTTTCTTTAACCTGGCCAAGGCTGGGTACTCACCTGCATGGGCTCATCGGGGAATCCAGGCTTGCTGGCCCTGTCCTGCCTCCGTGACCTCAAGAGCTGTTTGGCTTCTTTTTCCTTCAGAATCGGGGAGGAATCTGAAAAATGCAAGAAGGTGCTCAGGGTCTCTCAGAGCCTGCTGCTTGCCCCTTCCCTGCAGCCCAAGGAAAGGATTCAAAAGTAGGATTTTGGTGGAAGCACAATAGTTCTTCCCCGGAGACTTGATCCAAAGGGTGTGGATTCCAGAGAGTTCAGAGAAAACTTTTCAGTCCTTTCTCATACGGTTAAGGGGACAAAGCTGCACAATTTTTAAATCGATTTCTCTCTTGCTGTGGCCATTTCCTTTACAGGTCCGCATGGCTTTACTATGTTTCTGTAAATGTATTTTTTCAGTTCTCCAGTCTGTGCTTCTCTTTCCTCGGGTCTGCTTTGGTGGGATTTTCTTTTCTCTAAATCCTCAACAGACACAAACAAACATGTTGTTCTGGAAGATTCCCAGTCACAACAGGATTACATTGAGCTTGGTCATCACCACCCCCCTCAAGGAGGAAATGATGAGAATAGAATTAAAGTGTTTGGGGAATCACATGTGAGTGCTAAGGAGTACGAACAAGACCAAAGCACACCAACTTTGTGTGCTTTGCTATGAACCGTAAAGAACTGCACAACTGAGGGTGCAGCAGCATTTTTTGACTGGCTAATACTCAATGAGTGCTCAAAAACATTTAAAGATTGATTGATTGATTGATTGATTGATTGATTGATTTTTGGTGGAACCGGGCATTGAACTCAGGCCCTTGAGCTTGCCAGGTAAGCACTTATTCTACTGAGCCATCTCCCTGGTCCCTTAAAGATTTTTTTAAAAAATATTATAATAATTTGGGGGCTGGGAAATAGCTTAGCGGTTTAAGCACTTTCCTGGCAAGCATAAGGACCTGGATTTTATCCCCAGTACCACATGCCAAGGTGCCTGCCATCGAATCCTGGTGTGGTGGTGCATGCCTGTAATCCCAGCACTAGGGAGGCTGAGAAAGGACAATCAGTACAAGTCTGAGCTGTATAGCAAAACCTTGTATCTAATTAATAAAAAAGATTAATAATAATAATAATAATTTGGGCCAAGAATATAGCTCAGCAGCACCAGCACCTGCCTGGCCAAGTCTAAGGTCCTGAGTTGGATTCTTGATACTCTCCCCTAAGAATAATAATAATAATAATAATAATAATAATTTACCCCACATGATAGTAATCCTAGAAGTCTGCTCTTTCAGAAGAAAAAAAAAAAAAAAAAAAACCACTAAAATGTCTAACATGGAACAAAAGTCCCAGGTCCCCTCCTATTCCTACTATGGTTCTGGCCTAGAGGTAGCCTGGCTCCTGCAGCGGGCTCCCACCTGACACGGAGGCCAGCATCATCGTGCCGGCCAGCAGCAGCGCAAGCCATTTCTCCATCCCGCCGCCTGGTCTCTCTCTGGGCTGCCGCTGAGTGAGCTCTCGGGCTGAGTGGTGTCGCGGAGGACGCCGAGCCTGGCGGGGCACTTGTTTATACTGAGCAGCAGGACCCGCTGTGTGACGCTAAGTGTGTGTGACACTGTGTTCGCGGGAATGGCTGCTAAAATGTTTTCCTCTGCATTCCTTCAATTTTCATCCCGAGGAAGGAAATGACATCTGGAGGTGACTTGCAGGGAGCCGCTTGCAGTACTCGTTTCCTGTAGACGGAGAGATTGACTGTGTTCTTACAGAGTTTCTGAGTGTTTTGTTTATTTGTAGCTCTTCACTTCACTGAGGTTTTTTGGGTTTTGTTTTCCTGAGACGGGATCTCATTGTGTGTAGCCCAGGCTGGCCTTGAACTCCTGATGATCCTCCTGCTTCAGCCTCCCACGTACCATGATTAGGTTTGGGCCAACACACCCAGCTCATTTCACAATTAACCATCCCTTTGCATAATCTACATTTTTCCAAAGCCTATTCATTAATCTAGTTTGAATCCCCTTCCCCCAATAATTTCAAAGGGAGGTAGGGAAACCAGCAAGAGGCATCATGGGCGGGGGGCTTTTCCCAGCTGACTTTGGAGGCTGAAAGACCAGAGTTCGAATCCCATATTCACCTCTTCCTGGCATGACATCCTTAGGTACGTCACTTCCCCTTTCTGAACCTGTGTCTTCTGCTCTGTGAAGGGCTCACAGTGCCTGCTTCGGATGTGTGAAGGCTGAGGACAAGCTGTGAACTCCACGTTACCTGTGCCTGCTCCTTCATACCTAGCTTCTCCTCACACCGTGACAGCCGGGGATGCACGATAAAATCCAAGCTCACACACTGGATGCTGAGGGAAGGCCTACAGCTCCCATCTTCAGACTTACAGTGTGTACTGGGTATGGGGGCGTACACCTGTGATCCAGCCCTCAGGAGGCTGAGGCAGGAGGATCGCTGCAAGTTCAAGGCTGGCCTGGGCTACATAGTGAGTTCAAGGCCAGCCTGGGCTACATGGGTAAGAGACCACTCTGCAGGTGATGAAACCTTATAACATTTGAGACCTACGGAGAAGCCCGAGGCCACTGCAGATGTTCCCAGGAAGGGTTCTGGGATTCCAGCTCTTTCTTTTCTTTCCTTTATTCCCCAGCTGAAGCAGATTTACCCTATGGCACCCTCCAAGATAAGCTGCCTTGCCACAGGCTCAAAACAATGGAGCCACTAGGTGTGGGGGTGCACACCCAGGAGGCTGAGGCAGGAGGACGGCCATGAGCTCGAGGCCAGCCTGAGCTACAAAGTGAGTTCAAAACCAACACGAACTCCAAAGTGCAACTGTGCCTCAAAAAGATAAGTAAATAAGTAAACAAACAAATAAGAAAGAAGTCAACTGAGAGTGGACCAGCAGCTCCCAAACTGAAAGCAGCAGCATCCTTTCATCTGTACAGGGCCACACACAGAGTCTCTCAGCAGCCAAATACCACACAGAAGGCTATTTTCATAAAGACAAGAAAATCTTCTTGTTGAAGTCACAGCCTTCATGTGCAAGTCCCCTTCAATTCACCTATAAACTTCCGGTGAGCCACGTGCTGTGGTGTACTGCTATAATTCAAGCTACTGGGGAAGCTGAGGCAGGAAGGTCACAAGTTCAAAACCAGTCTCGGCCACTTAGCAGCAGCCTGTCTCAAAACTAAAAAATAAAAAGGGTTGGAGGTATAGAGCATCCCTGGGATTGGTCCCGGTGCTAATCCATCCCTCAGTTCATCAGGATCACATGATGACATTATTCGACATATTAAAAATAGGTCTGGAAAGAATGTAACATATATTTGGATAGAGCTCCATGGAAGAACAGCAGACTAATGTTTCTGTGGCTACTTTGCTGGTTCCAAAGAAAAGAAAACCTGATTTGTAGCTGTTGGAGTTTATGCCAGTGCTGTGTAACTGATACCAAGCCAAAATTCCTGCCCACTTGGGTGGTGGAAAGAGGTTCTGAGCAGATGGTAAACCAGGAAACAAAAAGCATACATTGCTAGCAAAGTTCCCTCACAGGTTCATTCGGTTTGGTGGTTTCATGCACTCCATGCTATTAAAATCCTTCTGAGGCACTGCGTGTGGTGGCGCACGCCTGTAATCCCAGCACTTGGGAGGCTGAGTCAGGAGGATGTTGCAAGTTCCAGACCAAACTGGGCCACAAAGTGAGCTCAAGGCCAGCCTGGGCTGCTTAGAGAGACACTGTCTCAAAATGAAAAAAAAAAAAAAAATCCTTATGCTTTCATATAGACTTCAAGAACTAAGGAATTTTAGGATCATTATTTTAGGAATATATATCTATATCTATATATAGATCACAACTATCAGGTTTTTATGTGCCTATTCATATGTTACATTCCCTTTCTCTTTGTGGTTGGGTGGAATACTATGTTATTTTGTTATATCAAAAAACACCTTCCGTGGGCCAGAAAACAATCTACACCTATCCACAAATTT